TTAACTTTAATAAAGAATATCTCTTTGGATTTGAGACTTTAGTCTTTGCAACTTTACAGATCTTCTTTATGCACCAAGTGCTTGTAACACTTCCAAGAGAAAGGAAAAATTGAAATCGCATTATATGACCCCTTTAAATGCAAAAGGAAAGGCAGTAGAGCTGACTATTTCTGTCAATGGTGTAAGTTTGTGATAGTGTAAGAAAAGTAGTTTAAATGTTTTGCCACTTGCTTGAGCAACTTAATATATAAATCTACAATTGATGCACTGAATGATGTCTTGCTTGTATTTATTGTGTTTAAACATGTCTGTGAAAGATTGTGTTACTGTACTGTGTAAAAAAAGAATTGCAATGAATTTTCGAAAAATCGGAATTGATTCAGGCCCTGAATAAATGTCTAAATGCACCAAGTGCTTGTAACACTTCAAAGAGAAAGGAAAAATTGAAAAATTGAAAAAATTGAAATCGCATCATATGACCCCTTTAAATGCAAAAATGCAAAAAATATGACCCCTTTAAATGCAAAAGGAAAGGCAGTAGAGCTGACTATTTCTGTCAATGGTAAGTTTAATGTTAAAAGTAGTTTAAATGTTTTGCCACTTGCTTGAGCAACTTAATATATAAATCTACAATTGATGCACTGAATGATGTCTTGCTTGTATTTATTGTGTTTAAACATGTCTATGAAAGATTGTGTTACTGTACTGTGTAAAAAAAGAATTGCAATGCTGAAAAAGCATTTTCAGTGACAATGTTTGGATTTGAAATCAAAATAATGGAATGATTATAATGTTGGAATAAATGTTGTGTTTGTGGTAAACACCCAGGGATCAGTAGCGGACTCCTGTGTGAAAGCTGCTTCCCCTCTCACAAGAGTCATCTAAGAGCGTAATCAGACGTAATCCTGATTGAAGTATCAATTTATAAATTATAAAAAGGCGGCTTTAAAAAGATCGATATCGGTGACCGGTATCGGCAGATACTGCTTTCAGTGATCGGCGATCGGCCTCAAAAATCCTGATCAGAGCACCCCTACAAAATTATGAGGAGGAACATAATTTGTGTAGTGTAGTATAGTGTAATTAGAAGGTAAAGTAAACATTTTGGTTTTCTTAAGCAATTTTTTGCACAATGTTGTGTTACGTTCAATGCGTTTCAATTTTGTTTACTTGGTCTTAAAAAGGTCTTAGAAAGTCTTATATTCACCTACGTACAACATACAGAAACCCTGTGTCATCATCTATGGTCAAGAGAACAAATAAAATAAAATTGGTGCTGTGATATGTTAAATTGCATTATTTGAGCCAGTTGGTATGTATTTAAAAGAAGTTTTCAGGCTGATGAAATATAGCAATAATGTTTTTCATTATGTCATGGTGTACTGTTTAATATTAATGAATGATTTTTATCATCCAGGGTGGCCTTGCCTTTTTTGTACAGCTGATGCCAATACTCATTCTGATCATAGTCTCTGCTCTCAGCCAGATGATGGTTTCCAGTCCTCCATACAGCCTCAGCCACAGACCGTAAGACCAACATTGACTAAATTATCATGTGTACTTGGTATATTATTATAAAACACTATTATTTAACACTGGTGTGTGTTTGATAGTCATATGAAATCCCATTGTGCATTTTGAGTTAGCTGTCACACTAAGTTAACTATTTGTATGCGTTTGTTTTCATATCCTTAAACTTCAGTCTCACAGAAAAATGTTCTGAAAGAAAAAAATGTTTATCTTGCTAAAGCATGATGGATGTCACTCAAGTGATAAATATCTCTGACGTTATCGAACACTCCACCTGCTTTAGATCCATGGGCCACACAAACAGGCGACACACTGCAACTCTGAAGGTGCCTTACTATGTGGGCGACCACTTCTCAGAAGAATATACGGGGATGAATCTTAAGAATGTTGAACAAAGTGTGGATGAGGACTATATATCAAACCTGAGAAACAATTGCTGGAAGGAGAAGCAACAAAGTATGTGACGCATATGAAGCTGCTTAATAATGCATGTTTATAGATGATGTATAAAGCAGTGTTTCACAGTGCCTGTCCACATAATGCAAGTGAAATTTAGCAAAATATTCTGAAAACGTAGACATATGTGCTCTTGTTTGCAGAGGAAGGCTTGTTGTATCGGGCACGTTACTTTGGAGACACAGACTTATACAAAAGGGCACAGAAAATGGCAACACCCAGCTGCTCGAAACTTTCAGATATACAGGTTCTGTTACATGGTCATTGAGTAGCAGAATGTGAGTTTACTTTTCTTTTCTGGATTTTAATTGTTCGTCTAGTGGATTATCTACTGTTTATCTGTGGACATTCTTTGACTGTGTTTTATCATTTTGTTCTGTTTCAGGTGGTGTCCTGTTGAGACGTCATTTGAAGATGATAATATACAGAAATGTTCTGTTCTCTTTGCTAAAATGGGACATTGCATTGCACCAGTTCAAGAGAAACAAAGATAGCCCATCCTGGTGCCACATGGGTTCACTCATCTCTCCTTCAAAATCTTAGGAAAATTACAACTCATGGAAGATCTTAACATCTGCGAAATGGTTTTATATATGGATTTAAATATGTAATGAATTAAAAAAATAAAGCATTGGATGATTTACTTGTAGAGAGGAAAGTGCACAGCTGTTAAATGGTAATCAATGCTGCTAGCTTACTGCTTATCGTTTTTATTTAGACCTATTCTTCTCAAAGCATTTTTCAATACCCATATTTGGGTTTTCTGAGCCAATTCTGAAATTTCTAGTAATGTTTGATCCGTTTATCTGACCACAGGAAGTCAAATGATTACACCGGTGTCATTCAGCATTTGCCTGTTGGGTTTTTAAAAAGAATGTTTGAGATTTATGCAAATGGAAGGTTAATATTTGTATTTATTAAATGGTATCATACTATTTTCTTCCATTTTAATTTATTTTTAGAACCTTAGAAGCATTCATTTTAACAGTGTTTTGCAAAGTGTAGATGGAGGGTTCTGAAGCATAATCAAGTGCCTTGCCAGATCCAGTCTTAATGTATACTGTAAGTCTCTGCATTATGTAATACAGGAAGGAAATACATCAATGCTTGGCATTAGTACTTAGACCAATTAGCCACTAAAATGTACTTGGGGATTTTTTCTTCTTCCATATTTTATGTTCTTTCATTTCAGTGCAACATTTTATGATTTTTTTGTATGTATGTAATGTAACATAGTAACCAAAAAATAAATAAGAATACATTTGCTTTTTAACAAATTTAGAGTTGAAACCTAATTATGCCTAATTTCACATTCCGAGGTTATATTAAGCTTGTGACAGTCATTTAAAAAAAAAAAAAAAAGGTTAATTTTGTTGCCATATAAAGATTTTTTTTTTTCTGAAATATTTGCAACCAGTGGTGCTTCAGAAAGGCTATCCATCTGAAAGTAAAATATTCATTTTGAAGCCTCTATTGACTTGCATCTAAAGCAAAGAATATTTGTAATTACCCAAAATGATGAACCCAATTTGAATTGGCCCAATTAAAGGTATTTAAATAATCTTTAAGATCTGGTTGATGCATTCTTTTTGGCCATTTGGTTCTTTTGGGAATGAATCTACAAGAAATGTATTATGATGCTTTTACAACTGTCTGATTTATGAGGTAAGCACAATGAGATTTAAATACATATTCAGCAAATAGTTATTTTAGTTTGCCCTTTAAGGTCGTCTTGAAGTGAGAAAATTGCAACTACATTGAAAAAAGAAATATTTAGGGTCAAGTCTGTTTGGACATACACTACTACTCAAAAGTTTTGGGATCAGTAATTTTTTTTTTTTTTTTTTTAGTTATTGAAAGTCTCGCTGCATTTATTTGATTAAAACATAGTAACATTATTATTATTATTTAAAATGACTTTATGCTATTTTCGTATAATTTAAATGTATTCCTGTGATGGCAAAGCTGAAATCTCAGCAACCGTTACTCCAGTCTTCTGTGTCTCGTGATACTTTAGAAAATATTCTAATATGCTGATTTAGTGCTACAGAAAAAAGTATGAATTTCTTTTAACAAATAATAAAAAAAAACCTTCTGTAAAGTAGTATATAGATTGGGATCATCAGTCAACAGTGGGTGTTGTAATTGCACACCAGGTGGCAGTCATGAGCTTTGCTCGTAAAAATAATTTAAGAAATTAACGCTTTAATTTGATCAACCTCAGTGTTCTTTGGTTTTCACATTGGAATAACAATACATAAACATACAAAACAAAAATGCACATTGATATCAAGTATATTGTTGCTAGCATTCGTACTAGGATGATCACCTCTTCCTTTTCATCCCACAGTCATAAAACCTATTCCACATCTGAATATTATATATGGTGAACAACACAGGCATATATTTGATCCCTAATGCTTAAAAAATCTTTACCTATATATAACGGTCCTTTCAATCTTCATGAAATCCAGGCAGACTAAAGGACACTGCAAGTGTCTTGACTAATGCAGGTGGGCTCAGTGTTGGTGGTCAGAGTTTCATGAAATCATGGACTGAGCTGATTTAATGGCCAGCACAGAGAGGGGAGGAGCAAAATTACAACTCATGGAAGATCTTAACATCTGCGAAATGGTTTTATATATGGATTTAAATATGTAATGAATTAAAAAAATAAAGCATTGGATGATTTACTTGTAGAGAGGAAAGTGCACAGCTGTTAAATGGTAATCAATGCTGCTAGCTTACTGCTTATCTTTTTTATTTAGACCTATTCTTCTCAAAGCATTTTTCAATACCCATATTTGGGTTTTCTGAGCCAATTCTGAAATTTCTAGTAATGTTTGATCCGTTTATCTGACCACAGGAAGTCAAATGATTACACCGGTGTCATTCAGCATTTGCCTGTTGGGTTTTTAAAAAGAATGTTTGAGATTTATGCAAATGGAAGGTTAATATTTGTATTTATTAAATGGTATCATACTATTTTCTTCCATTTTAATTTATTTTTAGAACCTTAGAAGCATTCATTTTAACAGTGTTTTGCAAAGTGTAGATGGAGGGTTCTGAAGCATAATCAAGTGCCTTGCCAGATCCAGTCTTAATGTATACTGTAAGTCTCTGCATTATGTAATATAGGAAGGAAATACATCAATGCTTGGCATTAGTACTTAGACCAATTAGCCACTAAAATGTACTTGGGGATTTTTTCTTCTTCCATATTTTATGTTCTTTCATTTCAGTGCAACATTTTATGATTTTTTTGTATGTATGTAATGTAACATAGTAACCAAAAAATAAATAAGAATACATTTGCTTTTTAACAAATTTAGAGTTGAAACCTAATTATGCCTAATTTCACATTCCGAGGTTATATTAAGCTTGTGACAGTCATTTAAAAAAAAAAAAAAAAGGTTAATTTTGTTGCCATATAAAGATTTTTTTTTTTCTGAAATATTTGCAACCAGTGGTGCTTCAGAAAGGCTATCCATCTGAAAGTAAAATATTCATTTTGAAGCCTCTATTGACTTGCATCTAAAGCAAAGAATATTTGTAATTACCCAAAATGATGAACCCAATTTGAATTGGCCCAATTAAAGGTATTTAAATAATCTTTAAGATCTGGTTGATGCATTCTTTTTGGCCATTTGGTTCTTTTGGGAATGAATCTACAAGAAATGTATTATGATGCTTTTACAACTGTCTGATTTATGAGGTAAGCACAATGAGATTTAAATACATATTCAGCAAATAGTTATTTTAGTTTGCCCTTTAAGGTCGTCTTGAAGTGAGAAAATTGCAACTACATTGAAAAAAGAAATATTTAGGGTCAAGTCTGTTTGGACATACACTACTACTCAAAAGTTTTGGGATCAGTAATTTTTTTTTTTTTTTTTTTAGTTATTGAAAGTCTCGCTGCATTTATTTGATTAAAACATAGTAACATTATTATTATTATTTAAAATGACTTTATGCTATTTTCGTATAATTTAAATGTATTCCTGTGATGGCAAAGCTGAAATCTCAGCAACCGTTACTCCAGTCTTCTGTGTCTCGTGATACTTTAGAAAATATTCTAATATGCTGATTTAGTGCTACAGAAAAAAGTATGAATTTCTTTTAACAAATAATAAAAAAAAACCTTCTGTAAAGTAGTATATAGATTGGGATCATCAGTCAACAGTGGGTGTTGTAATTGCACACCAGGTGGCAGTCATGAGCTTTGCTCGTAAAAATAATTTAAGAAATTAACGCTTTAATTTGATCAACCTCAGTGTTCTTTGGTTTTCACATTGGAATAACAATACATAAACATACAAAACAAAAATGCACATTGATATCAAGTATATTGTTGCTAGCATTCGTACTAGGATGATCACCTCTTCCTTTTCATCCCACAGTCATAAAACCTATTCCACATCTGAATATTATATATGGTGAACAACACAGGCATATATTTGATCCCTAATGCTTAAAAAATCTTTACCTATATATAACGGTCCTTTTAATCTTCATGAAATCCAGGCAGACTAAAGGACACTGCAAGTGTCTTGACTAATGCAGGTGGGCTCAGTGTTGGTGGTCAGAGTTTCATGAAATCATGGACTGAGCTGATTTAATGGGCAGCACAGAGAGGGGAGGAGCAACAGAACAGTCCCTGGACTAATCTGAGTAGTCAGTAACCATAGAAACGCCATGCTTTTAGGAAAGAGGACAGACTCCTGTTTTGTCTGTGGTCACTGATGTTTAAAGTCTTGAAACCATTATTATCTCCAGAACTATGAACTAATTGTGACTGGATATGGCATGACAATATCATCTGACTACAAAATACTGGAGCTTTCCTTTCTTTTTTTTTTTTGATTGATAGAGAAATGTGTTTGATTATTAATATCAAGAACATAACCCAGTATAGATGCACACTGCGTCTAAATAATGTCTCTCTGTGTGTCTTCATCCAAAACACTGTTCCATTTAAGATTTGATTTATTGCAGGGGAGGACGAAAAGGATCCCAGCTCCCAGAGGGCCAGGAGAAACTCTGATGTTGTTGGATAATTCTTGCTGAGATGTAGTGTTCTTTCATGCAGTTCCAATACGCAGCACAGCAAGTTTAGGTGTAAAGTTACAGTTAAGGTTAACATAGAGATCCGAGCCACTTATCTATTGGACCATGAGGAGGTCGCTTTCCTTCAGTGACATTATTGCACAGATGAGTAATTTATTAAAATGTCATGCCATTTACAAATTGGCCCCCTTTTAAGGGAAGCTAACCCTAAAACAACTCTAAAATCCTACTGTCAGCAAAATTGTGCAAAGATCATGTCTGCCACTAGTGCTGTAGACGGAGGGAGGCAATATTAGGCTAAGGCATTGTTTAACGCCTTCAGCGAAGATTAATTGAGCCACTTTAAAGATTATGCTGTGTGTTTCAGAGAAAAAGAACGCAGATGCTGACATTTTGAGTGCAGATTTATACTGTGAGGAAGCACTGAAAAATGACACCTTGCAATGCGGAATTGAGGATTAAAGCTTAAAAAACAAACTCTAATCCAGAGAAAATAGATGATCAGATATTATCATTACATAGCTCTCTAAATACTCGATTCTGATTGGTCAATAGTAGCATCCTGTGATTATTACCTAATATTCACTGTCGTCCATGGCAATAGTGTATCAGTCTGCTAATTTTTGCAACTGAAACCGTTGCTTCTGTCGTACCTCAGAGTACTTCTGTATTAAATGTTATTGTAACACTGTTGCAGTATATTCATCAGCTATCTGATGCAACTGATGAAAGACAACAAAGGTTTTACACATGTTCTGAATGGTTCAAATGAAAGCGCACAAGAGCACTCCCTTTATAATCACTAAAAATCTGTCACTCATTTTAGTTCATGCAATCTCACAAAGTTCCATTATAATCAACAAAACGGTCTACACTGCAAAATGAATATTTTATTTACAATGTGTCCTCTCTTTGTTATTATGAGAGGATTCGCGAGCATGCAGAACTCAGCACTTTACAAAAACAGAGATGTCTGTGTTCTTCTTAACTCAAACACAAATACACACTGGATTGTTGTTTGAGGCACCCTCGAAGAATTAGACCTGTGTTGGGTGCCTATATGTCATGTTCTGACCGGGATTTCTAAATTGCCTCAAATGTCCATGTTTCGAATGACTGAAAAGTAGTTCGACCAATAACATGCAGGTTGTAATCGACC